TACTGTGATTCAGGTGTGAACAGATAAAAATAATGACCCTATATTTACTTAAAAGAAAAAAATGGAGTTACAGTTAAGTCGAACTTATTTTTAAATATTTACCTACAATATATGTTTTCTGGAAATTATTTATTTTATTTACTGTCCCCTAGTCATAGTAGAAAAGTACCGACAGTATGCAGTGTCTGTAATTAGGGATATCCGACCCGGCATTGAGGGGAGTAGATGTCTGACTACGCTCTGAAAGAAGCGTGTCTTCACAATCCCTTTCTGAAAACTAATACGAACTTTAATGTTAATTAGAACCATCCATAGTTATCACTACTAGAAAAAAAAGCCGGTTTTTAAATTCACAGCTCGTTGGCTGTACCATTTTCCAATTCCGAATCACTAAACGCGCGGTCCTCACTATCTCATTAATTATATTATTATTATTATTATTAGTGATTGGAAAAAAAAAATCAAACACTAAGGTTGTGCAGTTATTTGAGATATCGAGGAGCACCCGTTTAGTGACTCACCGTGTATATCGGCACGGAGTAGAACTAATGGAAGAATTACAGTTTCCTTGATTAAGAAAAGTCCGTTTTGACGACGACAGTTTGCACTACAAGACGACTACTGGACAATATGATGCTAATTTTACGATCTTATAACAATATTACCGTCGCAACAACAAAGTTAGAGCTTCTTTATTACAAATTTACTATATAAAACTATGGTTAAAGTGTTAACTCCAATAAACCACTATCGATACAAAAAACTAAATTAGTTCTTATTAAAATGAATAATGTGTTTGTTAGTAATAAGTAATGAATTTGCATTAACTTGAAAATAAGCTGCTTCTAAAGCGTGTTATTCAAACAAATATTCATTGTATAAGTGTAGTAGGGATCTACAAGGCCCACCAAACTGTTCACAAATGCTATTTTGTCCGTATACCTGAAGTATTACTAAGCGCGAAACTAAAGAATAGACGCTTGCCCCAAAATACGGATTATTATTACGGATAGTAAAACTTCATAATTTGTACTTGACTTCTAGACACATTGTCTGTTAAGTTTCTAGGATTTTAAATTATTTTAATAATATTTCTAGGAATTTAGAGTTTACAAAGGTTTTCGTCATTAACCTCGGATTTATAAATTACAAATGACTTCAATTTTATAGTCTCGTTTGTTATTTCAAATTTGTTATTTACGTAATGTCAGTCAAATGTATGACTGTGGAAAAAAATTAAATGATCACATTTATCATGGCCTAATTTTTAGTGTGTTGAAATAAATGAAGAACGATTTGAACGCAAGTGATATAATTTAATTAAATATGTAGATAATGTAGATATTAAGTTCTCTTAAATGCAGAAAAGATGACTTTTTATAAGTAATGGATGATTGTAATGTATTAATTTTCAAAGATAGTTTATTTCCGGCCACTATTGGGAATTATAGATGCGAGTTATTTTTTCAGGGCTTTTCAATTATTTTATTTAGTTTGTTTAATGGTGCTAGCTATAAGACTAATGGTGCTAGTTGGTGCTAGCTCTAAACTATTAGGTGCTAGCTTTTCATTGTCTTTAAATTATATTGCGGGGCTAGCGTTAACTTAGCCCCCCCCGAAAATAACCCTTTATTACATGGCTTTATTGAATAAAAATACACTTTTTTTTAATGGATCCAGCGAGTGCTAGCTCTAGACTATTAACCTACTGATTTTTACTATTAAAGAAAAAAAAGTGGGGGCTACTTTTTTTTTTGGTTTTTAATTTTTTTTAATACTTGCAGAGTGGTGCTAGCTATGAGACTAGTGGTGCTAGCTGGTGCTAGGTCTAAACTACCTCGGACCAACTTTTCATGAGAATTAAATAATGTCGGGGGGCTAGCGTTAACTTGCCCCCCCCCGAAAGTAAAAGGCTTTTATTTCAATAATTAGGTGGTGCTAGCTTTTTGATTGGTGGTGCTAGCTGGTGCTAGGTTAGAACAACGAGGTGCTAGCTTTTGAGTAAAATTCATTAACTTGGTGGTGCCAAGTTAACGGACCCTTTTTTTTTAATTTTTCAATCTCTCGATTTTTAATTAATCCGCGTTTTCAGGTTTCTGCATTAAAATTTCTCGATTTTTCAATTGTTTTGTCCATTATCCACTTATTTAATTTCTCATTTTTTCATTTTTAGATTTTTCAATTTTAAAATTTTTCGATATTTCAAGTTTCATTTTTCAATTTTTGATTGTCATTTTTTTCGGTTTTTTCAATTTTTCTTTATTTTTTCAATTCTTAATTTATCACTTTTTCAGGTTCCAATGTTACAAATTTTCGATATTACTTTTTTATTTTTTTTTTCAAATTTACAATTTCGTAATTGTTTCATATTTAAATTTCCCGATTTTTAATTTTTTACTCTATTCAAATAATTATTATTAGGATTTTTTTTCAAGTGTACGATTCTTGGCTTTTCAATTACCCGATTTTTCAGTTTTTGTATTTTTTCAAATTTTTTATTTCTGGATTTTTAAATTTTTCGATATTTCAAGTTTCAGTTTTCAATTTTTGATTCTCGTTTTTTCGTTTTTTTCAAGTTTCCTTTATTTTTTCAATTCTTCCAATTGTGAATGTTTAAATTTTTTGATTTTTCAATTATCCCATTGTTCAATTTCTCAATTTTTTCATTTTTCGATTTTTCAATTTTTAAATTTTTCGATATTTCAAGTTTCATTTTTCAGTTTTTAAGTCTCATTTTTTCGTTTTTTCAAGTTTTCTATATTTTTTCAATTCTTCGATTTCTCAATTTTTTGATTTTTCAAGTCAATTCAAAATTTCGGTTCGAAAAAATTTGTCCTTTCGTTGAACAATTAAAAAATGACAAATCGAGAAAATTGAAAAAAAATAAAAATCGAGAATTTGAAAAATTTTATACCGAAAAATTGCAGAATTGCTTCGTTTTGTCGATTTTTCGTTAATCAAGGTTTTGAGGGTTCAATATTACAATTTTTCGATATCTCGAGTATCATTTTAAAATCTTTGGATTTTGAAATTAAAAATTTTTGTATTTTTGATCAATTAATTTAATGAAATTTTTGTTTTTCGTTTTTTCTAATTTTTCAATTTCTCGATTTTTCAATTGTATTTTTGAATTATCCACTTGTTTAATTTCTCATTTTTTCATTTTTAGATTTTTCAATTTTAAAATTTTTTGATATTTGAAGTTTCATTTTTTCGGTTTTTCAATTTTTCTTTATTTTTTCAATTCTTAATTTATCACGTTTTCAGGTTCCAATGTTACAAATTTTCGATATTAGGTTTTTATTTTTTTTTCAAATTTACAATTTCGTAATTGTTTCATATTTAAATTTCTCGATTTTTAATTTTTCACTCTTTTCAAATAATTATAATTAGGATTTTTTTTCAAGTGAACGATTCTTGGCTTTTCAATTACGCGATTTTTCAGTTTCTGTATTTTTTTCAAATCTTCTATTTCCCGATTTTTAAATTTTTCGGTTTTCCAGTGTTTCGACCTTTTCCATGTTACAATTTTTCAATTTTTCCATGTTTCTTTTTTACAATTTCTTAATTTTTTAGTTTTTCGGTTATCATTTTAAAATTTTTGTATTGTGAACTGAATTTTTTTTGTATTTTTGATTGTTTAATTTATAGAAGTTTTTGTTTTTCGTTTTTTCAATATTTCACTTTCTCGTTTTTTAATTAATCAGGGTTTTCAGGTTTCAATATTACAATTTTTCGATTTTCCAATTATCCCATTGTTCAATTTTCACAATTTTTTCGATTTTTCAATTTTTAAATGTTTCGATATTTCAAGTTTCATTTTTCAGTTTTTTTAACTCCGAAAATGTGCAATTTTCTGGCCAAAATAGGAAAAATAATTTTTGCAATCTCATCGTGACGTACGATGACGTCACTGTCACGTGAGCTACCTGTTCAAAGGTCGCATTTTTCGGCCCCTTGTGTTCAGTTTAGATTTCGGTCTGATGGCAGCAACATTGGAGCTCCGGTTTGGCTTGATTTGTTTACTCGACAATGTTTAAATTTTGGAAAAAAATTTCGAACCGGTTGAAGTTGATCGTTCAAAGCTATACATTTTCACGATATAATTAAATAAAATTTAGACATAATTAATATTATTTATAATGCTCAATATGGTAAGTAACTATTAATATATGATAATCAAACCGAAAACCGTTTTGCTAAAAACACGATGGTATTAAAAACAAAGGAATTTGTTTAAATATTGTTAAGTTAATCCTGAAAATGTCTTAATTTCCGGCCCAAAATATGAAAAATAATTTTTGCAATCTCATCGTGACGTGCGATGACGTCACTGTCACGTGACCTACCTTTCTAAAAGTCGCGTTTTTCGGCCCTTTGTGTTCAGTTTTAATTTCTGTTTGATGGCGACAAGATCGTCGCATCCTTTTGGCGTAAAAGTAGAGCAATTTCGCGAATTTCTAATTTATTATTAATAAATATTAGTAAAAATGTGTTGTGTTGGTACTGTGAACAGGAACGAAAGTGGATATTTTTCCGACCGAAGTTTTAATTTATCAGGTTCCGTGATTCGTTTACTCGACAAAGTTTAAATTTTGTGGAAATTTTCGAAACGATTGAAGTTGAAGTAAATATATTTTGATTAAAAATTGATCATTGATCATTTCGGGTAAAAAATCAATACGGAGTCGTAAACTACATGTATAGGACTATGTTATTTAATGCAATCTAAAACCCATTTACTATATGCAATTTTGAAGTGATGTCATCCCATTATTGGAAGGGAATGATTAGGCAAATTTTGGTCAGCGTTTTACCATCTACATGATATTCCTAATATAAATACAAAATTTTCAAGAATCATCAGACAGACGGACAGACGGACAGTTGGACAGTCAGACGGAAACGGGAGACCTATTTCTTCGTCTTCTAGGGGTCATGAAAACTCGAGAAAATGTCGAAGTAGAGAGTCGGCCGACGGAAATAAAAAGAAAACCTTGTTATACCTCATCGTTTATTGGTTTAGTAGTTTGTTCATATAAACTTGCCGACTCTGCGTCCTCTGCAAGTGTCCCGAACGAGAGTCTTTTCGGCGGCGGCTTAGCCGACGGCTGAGGCTCCTCATTTCGCGTCTTCGGATCAGGTCTTAGCAAGTGTTCATAGCCCGTTTGGGGCTCGCTTGATTTCTCACAAAAATGCTCTTGGGTGCATGATGTAATTATGATATTTTTGTCGATATCAAAAGCAGGATTGTGCTCGGCATCGAACAAAGCTTTTGCCTCCTCTACGGCTGTCACCACATTTTGGGCCACCGGATCTTCCTCGTACTGAATGTTGAACATGAGGTAGCGAATATCGCAACGGTAGATTTCTTTGTCTTTGTAGTGGATGATGAGACTGTTGAGGCGCTTAGTTGGGATGAGCTGGACGTTGTAGCCGCGAGTGACCAATTCATCTACAGAAAAAAAGACTTCAACTGGGTTTGTCTAATTGGAAGATGGTGGTGTGGTTACCTACAACTCCGATTAGTTTCTGGGTTTTGTGTCTTATGACCCCGTGGGCTTCGTATGGTCCGAAGTAAAGTTTAAGTGCCATAGTGTGACAGATGGTTTATCAAAATATGTCATAAGTTGGTGGAAATTGTGTTAGTGTCACATGAGCGATTTGATCCACGGCCAAACTGCAGCGTCCACGGAATTTGGAAAAAAATGCACAAATTACATAAACATCCTTGACTCGTACAGAAATATGTTTATTTAATACGTGAAAAATTTTGATTTTGTGGGACTAACAGAAACATGGATACTAGAGAGAGAGTGGAACAAACTGAAAGACGTGTTGCCAAAGGAATTTCAGTGGAAATTGCAAGGGGCAAAAAAAGAAAAACGCAAGGGTAGAGCAAAAGGTGGAATCATAACAGGAGTGAAGAAAGATATAAAAGAAATAGGAGAGGGGGCAATAGAAATGGAAGGCTTAGTTGAAAGAAAACTGATTGTAAATAAAAAAATTGGTCTAAAGAGTTTAGACAGTACTTCCCTCGCTGTCGGAAACTTGACGACTGCATGCCTATTGTGTTTTTTTTCTCATTACATTTTTGTAGTGGGAATTTAAAAAAAATTGCGATGACGTCATCAACATTTTTGCAAGGACACGTATATCAGTTGGGATAGATGTAGTGTAATACTAAGAATAAAATTATTATATTCTCAAATTTTCGGGAAAATGAATTGGGTCGTTTTGAATATTGATTTGTAATAATAAATAAAATAACGAAACAATTTACTCACGTATACGTATCAGAGGCAACTGAAAATCGTGTATGTATAAACATTCTTAATTTAAGATGACAGGCGTAACAGCATACGTGAGAGTCAAACAGAGAAACTGTAAACAAAACGACCATCGGTTTTATTGCTTCGACTTCCGCTTATTATATAAAACATTGGGTTTTATTTTAATTCTTGACGGTGAAATTCACAATTGGTTGATTATAAACATGTCTATTTCACATTCGCGGAATCAAGTGAGCGCATAAAACAAATGCAGGTCTGTAATGTTAAAGTCGATGTAAATAAGCGTGCTACCCTTATGTTTCAACCGAGTTTTTCCTTTAACAAATTTTGTGTCTACCAAATTGGGTTGGTTGGGGTGTAATACTAATAATAAGTGTTGCCTTTAATTTAATCAATAAAATAAAAAAGCGTAAAAAGTGGTCTCTAGACATGAATTTACATATTATGCGCTTATATTATAAAATTACAAACAATGAAACTGATGTAAGTAATTATCGTACAGCTCTACACGAAGCCTTCAGCCGTGAGTACCCAAATTTTCCAGTTACCATTCAAAATTTAGCAGATCAACGTAGAGCTATTGTTAAAAATAACTACATACCTCAACTTACTCTAGAACAATTAAAAAATGAAGTTTCCAAAACCATTAATCCACTTCCTGAAGATATCAACAAGACACCACCAAATACATTACTAACTGACACATCTGTCACCAATTTGTCAAAAACAACATCTCAAAATAAGATACCAATTATACCACAAAATAGTAACAGTAGTCTATCAAATACACCAGAGACACCGACTGACGCATTTACTAAAGATTTATTAAACAAAACACCTCAAAATAAGATCACAACCATAACACAAATTACAAACACAATATCAAACAGATCCCAAACATTAACTGACAAATCATTTAACAATTTATCAAGAACAATCCAAAACGAAATTAACATCACAGATAATCTACAAAACACATACTACAACAACGAAGACACATTAATCAAAACTGTAAACAACAATTTTAAATTTCACATTAATTTCCAAAATGAAATTGAAGACAAATTTAAATTAACTTTCGAAACATGTTCCAAATTAAAACCAAATGATAGACATTCACTTCCCCGCCAGTATTATTCTAAAAAGTTTCTAGCAATTGTAGAAATAATGAACTCCTTCATTTTACCAAAATATCTCACAAACTCGATCTCTTTTGAAAAACTTCATACAATTATCTACTGTGCAGCTTTAACTTGTATTCAAATTAACACATGTAAAGATAACATAATAAATACAAACACCAATCGTATACCTTCGACCCCTCATTGGGAAACACGGTTAAATTATAAAATTAATAACATTAGAAAACAACTAGGTCAAATAACACAGTACCTTAGAGGAGTTAAAACACCACATATCATGACATGTATGCATTCGATACTGACCAACAATAATTTTCATCAAACTGATTACAATGAGTACAACACAACATTATCCCAAATTAAAGATACCCTATTACAAAAACTTTCCTTATATAGCAAACGACTTAAAAGATACAAACAATCACATCTCAGAAAAATTCATAACACTAAATTTTTAAACAACGAAAAACTATTCTATCAACATTTAACTAATTCAAACAAAACTCAATTATCCGGTGAACTTCCAAGTTCACAGGATGTAACAACATTTTGGTCAAAACTTTGGTCTGAAGAATTTGAATTTAACCAATCTGCCAAATGGATTCCTCATATATCCCATAAACTATCCACAGTTACACCAATGAACGATCATCAGATAACACTTGCCGAATTAATAAATACCATCAATAAGACACACAACTGGAAATCACCAGGACCAGACAAAATCCATAATTTTTGGATAAAAAAATTTAATTGTGTACATATTCATTTACTAAATCACTTAAATCAGTTCCTTCTTGACCCATCCTCCTTTCCAACATTCTTATGTCATGGTGTAACATACTTAAAACCTAAAGATAACGACACAAAAAATCCATCAAAATACAGACCTATCACATGTTTACCAACAATCTATAAAATATTAACCTCATGCATTACACAAAAAATCTATCAACACTGTTTTAACTCTAACATCATTAATGAAGAACAGAAAGGATGTATTAAAGGATCCTTTGGTTGCAAAGAGCAATTAATCATAGATTCCATCATCTGTGAACAAGCTAGAAAAGAAAACCGAAACATATATACTGCTTTTATTGATTATAAGAAAGCTTACGATTCTGTCCCTCATTCCTGGCTATGCAAAATTCTGGAATTATACAAAATTGATACTAAAATCTGCACTTTTCTAAAATGTTCCATGGAATTTTGGAAGACCACCCTTCAAATAACCTTAAATGAACAAACAATTCAGTCAGATCCAATAATGATCCGAAGAGGAATTTTTCAAGGCGATTCTCTTAGTCCGTTATGGTTCTGCTTAGCAATAAATCCCCTCTCCGATATCCTGAACAGTTGCAATTATGGGTTCAATATAAGAATTAACAAACAAAGAGAAAACAGAATAAGTCACTTGCTGTATATGGATGACATAAAAATATATGCAAGTACACAAAATCAGTTAACAAACCTATTAAATCTGACTGAACAATTTTCCGGTGATATTGGTATGTCTTTTGGTATTGAGAAATGTAAGACCCAAGCAATCAGAAAAGGCGTCCAACACCAAGTACCACATATAACCCAGAATAACGAAATAATCGAAGCACAAGAACGAAACGATACATACAAATATCTGGGTTTCTGTCAATCATCACACATCAATCATACCAAAACGAAAACACAGTTGAAAGATCAATACCTAGCGAGATTGAAATTAATATTGAAGACACAGTTAAATGGAAAAAATTTAATGAAAGCAGTAAATACATTCTGCGTTCCACTACTAACATATTCTTTTGGAGTCATTAAATGGTCCAAAACTGATCTTGAAAATTTAAACATCGCAACAAGGAAAATCTTCACACAGTATAGAAGGCATCATCCAAAATCGTCGATTGAAAGATTCTCATTACCAAGACAGAATGGAGGAAGGGGTTTCCAGAACCTAGAAAACTTATGTCAGAGACAAATCTCAGATTTGAAGAAGTATTTCTTGAAACGAGCGGAAAGAAATGAAATGTTTCGCACCATCACAAGAGCAGATTTGAACCACACACCCTTAAATCTGTCGAACACCGAAGAAATCCACACCCCCCACACAATAGATAAAATAATAAGTGGGCTAAAACAAAAACAACTACATGGAAAATTCTACAAAGACTTAGAAGAAACTCATATCAATAAGAAGATGTCATTGATTTGGTTAAAAAAATCAGGTTTGTATGCCGAAACAGAAGGATTTGTGTTTGCTATTCAAGACCAAGTAATCAATACCAAGAATTACAAAAAATACATCATCAAAGATCCGAACATAAAAAACGACTGCTGTCGCCTCTGCAAAGCAAAACCTGAAACGATCCAGCACATAATCTCTTCTTGCAGCATCCTAGCACAAACTGACTACAAAGCTAGACACGACAACGTCGCCAAAATCATCCACAAAGAATTAGCAACACTTATGAACTTAATCGAAGATACGACACACTATTACACTTACATTCCATCTCCGTTCCTTGAAAATAACAAATACAAATTATACTGGGATCGCACAATACTTACAGACTTAAACATTACAGCTAACAGACCAGACATCATACTTATCAAGAAACACACGAACGAAGCCATTCTCATTGACATTGCTGTTCCCAACACAAACAACATTATTCAAACATACCACACCAAGATTTCAAAATATCTACAGTTATCGATAGAAATGAAATCCATGTTGAATCTTAAAAAAATTTCAATTGTACCTCTAGTTATCTCTAATGTAGGTGTAGTTCCAAATAGCTTAGTTGAGAATTTAAAGTCTTTGCATTTGAATGATTCAATAATTATCAAAATTCAAAAAGCTGTTTTGTTAGGAACATGTCATATTGTTCGTAAGTTTCTTGAACAGTCTGATCATGTTAGTCAGATTAGGTTAGCACCAGTAGGTCAGAGTAGTGTAGGTCAATTTTCAAGTGATGCGCGGATAAATGGTCGGTAGTTACGCTAGACTTTTGGGGATGGGGTGAGATTAGAGAATAATAGCAGACTAATTTGTATGCTGTAATTCTAGAATCTCGAAAGTTGTTCTGTTAATCTAATCAATGCATATCATTACTTGGTCTTAGTACCCGTAATGATAGAAGTCTTGCCTGAATGCCGGTCATTTCCGGGTCAGTGGT